TAGTATATATATATATATATATATATATATATATATAGATGGAACTCAAATATCCATTTCCTTGAAAAATGCATCAAGTTTATGCGTCACGAAAATGTGCTCATTTCCTTACCTAGTATGTATTATGAGTAGAAACGAGTTATCTGTGATCTACTTCTGTTTATGTTGTTATTTAGAGGTAATAATATTTAATAATGGTTCATATAATAGGTCATTATACCTGATCTGGTCTATAGATGAATAGTGGCTATAATTGTGCATAATTATACATAATGCCGTCATTAGCATAACACACACGTACATGACGCCCATTATGTAGTACATGGCACATGTACATGACGCCCATTCTGTAGTAACGCTGTGAACGCACGTACCCTACTACGCCCCCAGCGCCCACTGTTCCCTTCACGATAGCGGTGCTTGCATACGTACGTGCGTGCGTACGCATGTGCGTGTTCGTGATATGTTCGCTGTATGGTTGCTGTGACAACCATAGCTGGCTGTCCGAACATCAGTCTCTAGAAGCAGGAAACGCTGACCGGAAGTATAACGTGCAGCCGTTTGGTTCGGCGATAAATTCAAATATTACGCAACGTGACATGGGCACGGTCATGAATTTGTAGGGATGGGTGGACATGGAGCTAATGGTGCAAGGCACGCTTTGATAACCAAGCTCACGTATGTGCGTGTTCGGTTCGTCCGTCCGTCTGTGCGTATACGTGCGTGCTTGTGTGCGTGCGTATATGTGTGCGTGTGTGTTCGCGTACGCGCGAGGGTGTGCGTATACGGCCCGGGTAGATGCGCGAGCGTACGCGCGTACGGTCGCGTGTTCGCGTTTATGTAGGTGTGCGACTGTGCGTGTATGCGTGCTTGCAAGAGTAGATAAAAACACATGTGTTATTATCTACTCTTGGTGCTTGTCTGCCCGTCCGCGTACGCATACGCAGCATAAACAGCAGTAACATCTGTACGCGAGCATGCAGTCTGACGCAGGCTATCTCTCGTGAGCCTGCACTCCTGCCCGCACTGTATTGCCTATCACGTCTCGTACACGCGCTAGTGTCGAAGTGAGAGATTTATTGCATTGAGATAAATATATACGATAACGAAAGCACAGCTCATGCATATCGTATCGCATTAATACCGGTTAGAGGGCGACACGTATCGAACACAACACGTTTTGAACACAAACGACCGTGTAGAAAAAGAAGCCTTCTCATCAACATCAACGGAACGACGAATCTAAATACTTTGCCCTTCCTGCCGGTCTATGCTGAAAGTATAAAGTATTTAATTGCTTCCACGGTCCAGTACACCGGTCCAGTACTTGGCAGGGTCTCCAACCATTCATCATTCTGCAGAATCATTACGATTTCTAGGCTTAATTTCCGCATTCTGCAGCGGCAAGGTTATATTCATCATTTCAGTTGCACAGTACAAAATTTGCACTGATTGTTCGCATTTTTTTTCAGGCATTTTGTATCTGGCATGTCTACGGTAAATGGAACAGCCTAGTCAGACAGGCGCTATCTGCAAGGTGTCGCGTAGTTTGTCTGCTAATCAGACAAGGGTTGTAGGGTTGAGATAGTGTTATTAGACATGAGAATATGGCCCACAGTATGCCTCAGATTGCAGGAAAATGGCTTAAATATTTCAAAATTGTTGAATTTTAACCCCTTCAATATTTTGAAATTTTTTTCAAACAGTTTGCCCCCAAACCCCTAGCATTGGCATGCCTACGGCACGTGGGCCTGCCTGCGGCAGCCAATGTAAATTTTGACCCCATCCATTTCTGAATACGCCACTAGTTACTGATCATCGCGGGAACATTCCGCATTTGGAGTTCACAGGGTTGGAGACCCTGACTTGGGAAGATGCCTTGCTTTCATGGGCATAGACGTGAATGAAGTGGGTGATCACTAACAGGAAACTGTGTGCCAGGAATTGGTATATGACACCACAGTTGAAGAAGAGGGTGCACAAGCACTTGGAACGTCTCAATAAAATATAAAATGTAAACACGAAATGTATTTACTACCAAAGTTATAATGTTTCTCTACTCTATTTCGCCTATTATTGCCGATAACTTGCTGTAAATGCCGTTCAAATGCTCATCTGCAACACACAAGTACACTGAACGCCCGCCCTGTACACAAACAACATGAATATTGCATTTGAACGGCATTTAGGGGGAGTTATCGGCAATAATAGGCGAAATAGAGTAGAGAAACAAGACTTTGGTAGTAAATACATTTCGTGTTTACATTTTTTTTAGACGTTCCGAGTGCCTGTGGGGAGGTGAGAGAGAAACGAATTGACACCTACTGGAACAATATCAGTAATATATCGTGTTCCTGTTATCGCCCTGGTTGCAACGCCCTGCTTTTACCCAAAATGTGGTTCGACATAGGCAGTCTCTTAGCCAAATGTTCTGTGGCAGAGGTGAAGAATGCCCTAGCTCCCAGGAGAACCGCTTTCTCCTTGCCAGTCACGAGTCTTCATTGTCAGACGTGTGTTGTCCCCCATATCCAGATCCTTGTCGCCTAATTGGTTGGAAGTGGCCTCGAACTCCACCTGCACCAGTATATGTAGCATATGTCCCAGTTGGTAGCTTTTCAAATGATGGATTACAATTTTGCCATAAGTTGGTGGTGACCAGTAACGGATAGCGTTATCCAGCTGTTTTCGTCCCTGTGCATTTGTTGTCTCATCATACTGAAGGGTGTATATGGCGTATTTGGAGCCTCTTTCAAATTTTGTATCAGGATTTCGTGGAAAAAGGACCCAGTTGCATCAGAGATGAGGTATTGCAAATATTGTTATAGAACATTTCAATTTCAGATACAGAAAATCCAAAATTTACTGCTGAACATACAGATAATCCAGTCGC